ATTTCCCTAGGTGCTAATGATGTTGAACATTTTTTTTTTCATCCATTTATTTTTTTCAGGAAAAAGCCTTATTATTTCTTCTTTTGAGAAGTATCTGTTTCGTTCATTTGCCCATTTACTGAATGTGTTATTTGTTCTTTAGGTGTTAAGCTTTTGAGTTCTTTGGTTAAAGATAACTTGAAATTCTTTGATTTTTATACAAATTTTTCACTTAACAAGAAAACAAATTACCTTAGTGATTTTGTAGAATTTATAATATGCAATATTATACAAAATCCATCTCTCAGCAAAACTGTTCAAACTGCTCAGGGTTATTAGTTTAGTAACAAGGCTATTAATTATACAATACATCTTGTGGGATACTCTGACCTGTGATACTATTTAAAGTGGGTTTAATTCAGTACATACTTTCATAAATTCCCTAATATAAACATATACTTTTTCTTTTTAGCAACAGCATAATTTTTCTTTCCTACCTAAGAACAAAGCTCTCAAATAAAAATACTTAATATCTATTCATAATTTTCACTTACATAGCCATTTTTTAAAAATTTCTACTTAAAACATATTAGGGCATGTTAATCCTTATGTATTTATTTTAAAACAGTAACTTTCTTTTCTTTGTAAGAATTTTGATATTTCTAATTCTAAATATTGTATTCAAATTAATAATTTAGATATTTTACCAAATATGTCAATAGCACAATTTATATTATATCCACAAAATCTAAACACTCTAAGTTATTATTGAGTAGTTTTATTTTTAATGGAAATAGTATTTTATTTTAAAATTCCATCTATACTAAACATATACAGGCTTCATTTATATTGTGTTAGAACTTATAAATAATCTAGAGATGATTTAAAATATTTGAGAAGATATGCATTTGTTAAATGCAAAAATGGCACAGTTTTATACAAGGGATTTGAACATCCTCAGATTATGGGATCCACATGGTTCCTGAAACCAATCCCCTACAGACCTCAAAGGATAACAATATCAATTGAGCCCCCTAGTAATGTACTAACAATATCACTACAGCTTAGTATCAAAGTTTGATATTTTTCTAAAGCTTCATGAAATGTAAATTACAAATTTTTATTGTAAGGCATCGAATTCACTATTAGGAAGGTTTTTTTTTTTTTTTTCAGAAAAGTTTGCATAAAACACTAGCTTTATTGTTTCTATATTTTGGTTATGCTTTCATGAATTATATAAAATCCTAAGAGAGTATATAACATTTTTGTTATTTTCTTGTACAATTGTGTATTCCTACATGTATTTTTCTCTACTTCATCATTTATGCAAAACAGTTTTTCTGATATTCATCCATGCTGATAAAGGCAACTGTAGGATTCCATTGTATCATAGTGCACTACCATTCAATTATCAGTATATACTAGGGCTATCTTGACTTTCTTTTGCTGTAAAAAATAATAATAATATGTAAAAATCGTTTTATATTCTTCTTCTACCTCTGTTCTGGTGAACATGTGCAAAATTTCATTTATTACATAACTCAAAATATAATTGATGGCTCCAGAGTGTAGATACATATCAAGCAAACACAAAGGCAAATTGTCTTCTGAAGAGCTTCTATCAATTTTGATTAATGCCAATATTGCATACAAATTTCTTAAATATTATATTCTTCAAATCTTTTTGTACTGTCAGATGTCTTTGGGTATCTTACTTTTTACTAGACTAATAGGTTTTAAAATGCATCTCATTGTAGTTGTCTATTTCCCTCATTACTCTGAGGTAGAGCAGACTCAATGTTTATGCTGTATTTGTTTCTTCTAGTAAGTCCCTCTTCATATCTTTTGACCACTTTTATATGGTTTTAACATTCTAATTTATTTTTAGGATTTATATATTCTGGGTATTATTCTTTTGTGAGAGGCAAATTCTTCTATTTCTAATGCATGATATGATTTTATAAAGGATTGATGCTGACTTTTATTGAGTATATATTTTTTTTTTACTTATTGAGATGATTACCTTTTTTTCTTTTAATCTGTTATTCCATCTGTATTAGTCAGGATTCTCCAGATAATAGAAGTGAGACAGAAGAAGAGGAGAAAGGGGCAGTGGGTGGGGGGAAGGTGTGGAGGTAGACAGACATTGGCTTTAAGGCACTGGTTGATACAGTAGTGGATCCTGGCAAGCCCAAATTCAGCAGGCTGAAGATCCAGGGAAAGATTGATGTTGCAGCTCAAGTACAAGTGCTGTTCAGAATTTGGTCTTCCTTAGGTAGTCTCATTTTCCTTATAAGGAACTAAACAGATTGAAAATGATTTTATTTCCACTTAATTATCTCTTGGAAGTGGGTAATGGGCACAGACTCAAAAATATTGAGGAGCAAGAATAATAAAGGCATAGATTGTGTTTAACATTAAAAAAACTTAGAAATATGCATTTAATTTTCCTGGAGAAGACTCGAAGGAAGTAAGGAACATGGTACAGAAGAGATTATACACATTATTTTCATAGTAAACTTATAAATGTGTAGCACACCATCCTTTGCTTCACAGACTAGATAAGGAGAAAAATGTTCATGAAAATATTTTGCACAGTACAACATGTAATCCTCAGCATGAACAGGATAAGTGATAAATACCACATTTTATGAGTCTTTTGTTTTTAATTCACTAGATGACATGAGTAACATATCCATCCATGTAGCGCTATAAAGGTTGTCCATCAATCCACATTCTGCAGGAAGTTATCTATTTCCAAAAGCATAGATATCATAACTAAACATAGAAACTTTTGGCTTCTCTAACTTACTATGTCTTTGGGTATCTTACTTTTTACTACTATTTCTTTAAACATAATATCAACTACAATCCATAGCTTTCTTTATGTACTGCACCATAATTGTAATAACTTCTTCAAAATCCTTATTTGCTAATTTTAACATGTAGTTATCTCAAAATCAATATCACTTTCCTTCTACTTACAATATCAACCATAATATATGATATATAAACATGTTCCTTCTGTGCTTCTATTTGCCTGAGAGAATAGATTTCATGCCTGTGCTAAGATCATATTTAGAATGCTTTTATGCTCTTCATTTCTCCCTCAAATTGCCTTTGAACCTTTTTCAGACATATATGTATGCATATATATGTATATATGCATATATATTTTTTTCAGCATATTTACATAAATTTCCCGTTTATAATTAATTCCTTCTTAGGTTTCTCCATTGGTGCAGATATACTGTTTCATATTCAGAATTTACATAGATACAGCTCGAAAGACAATGTAGACAGTTTCACAGAGCAAGTGAACATGATAATGACAAGATTTGTATACAATTTATGATTTTATTATATCATATAATAAAATAATAATGACATATTTCACTATATACTTAGCTGTGTTCATGTTCTTTTAATAGTTTTGTCATATTTCATCAATTAAAAGAGTTTGCCCTCTTCTGGGGAGACAATAAAATGTATAAAATTTTCTCATTTCTGTGTTTGATTTGGGTGCTTCACCTTTGCCTTTATCTAAAGAATTATTGACATTAGCCAGGCATGTTGCTGCATGCTTGTAATCCAGTGACTTCAGAGGTAGAGGCAGGAGAATTGTAAGTTCAAAGTCAGCGTTAGCAACTTAGGAGGCCCTAAGCAACTTAGTAAGACCCTGTGTCAAGACAGAAAATAACAAGGACTGGGGATGTGGCCTAGTGATTAAGTCCCCTGTGATCAATCCCCAGTACAAAAGAATATATATATACATAGATACAGAAGAATATATATATATATATATATATATATATATATATATATATTCTTTTGTACTTGGGATATATATATATATATATACTCACACACACTCACACACACACACTCACACATACACACACCCATATATGTATAATCTCCACACACATACCCAGAAATCAAAATCAATGATCTAAGCAGTAAACACTAGAAAATATAACATTTTTAATTTTTTTTTTTAAATGAAAAATTATAATTTTTATTCTATGCGATATAAAATAATATGCATAGATTTGAGACATAATTTCTTAGTTTTTACTTTAGGTAAAAGAAACACAATGAAAAAAAGGTTTATAAATCTCTCAGTCCCTTTATAAAAATTTACTGTTGAAACCAACTGTTACTTACATGTACAACCACCAACTCTGAATAAAATATGAATTATAGCTAGGAATTGGAATTTACCTAGAAGAGCTCTAGCTGCTTTTTAAAAAATGCATAATTACATCATAGAACACTGTGTCATCTATAATATGTCCCAAATTTGAAAAGAAACTCCTGCTTCCATATAAGGAAACAATACTTTTTCCATAATTGTCTTCCAGTATTAAAAAACTTCATAGACTGATTTACCTTTATTAAAGGTAAAATGATGCACTGCTACATTTGTATGGATTATCTTGATTCTCAGTAGTTCTTAAACACAAAATAAAATTTTGCGTGAACTTTCATCTGTTTAGGTTTTCAAAATACTAATACAAAATGTATTCAACTAGCAGAAGTCCAAGGGCTAAAGAAAAAGGAACAGAATATAAAATGTTCACCAACTTTATCCTTTCTAGTTTTACACAGCTTCAGGTTATTGAGACCTAATTGGTTGGTTGTGCCTAATCACCACGAACATAGCCCCATCTTTTATCTTAATACTCCCCAATGCCATCTTTTGTTTGGTTCTTCATTTTGCGACGTATAAGATCACTTCGTCCAACTTCAATCATTTGTTCTTCCCAAGATTTCATTTCGTTATCATAACGAATTTTATCATCTTTAGCAAGTTGAATATATACTTGCTTTTGAGAACTAGGCAGGTTTTTCCAAGTTTCATTTACATATTTCAGCTTTGCCTGTGATGAACCATCCTTAACTTCTTGGAAGCTTTCAGATATAAAAATGTTATAAGCTGAGCGAGGTCTTTTTGGTTTTCCAAGCATTGTTAACTCTCTTTTTTTTTATTAAAGCTTTCTTTTTTAAACGTTTTTGCAGCGAGTTGTCATTGTTGAGGCCGTTAGATTTTTCTGAGGAGGGTCCTCCGGGATTTGGGCCCGGCCACTGCCTTGTCGGCCATCACCGCCGCCATGGCGCTGCTCCGGGGAGTGTGGGGCGTGCTGAGGGACCTGGGAAAGTCTGGAATGGAGTTGTGCTCCGGCTGTGGAAATCGTCTGCGCTCACCCTTCAGTTTCGTGTATTTTCCGAAGTGGTTTTCATCCACCTTGGGTAGTTATCCTAAGAAACCTATGAGTTCATACCTTCGATTTTCTAAAGAACAGCTACCCATATTTAAAGCTCAGAACCCAGATATGAAAATATCAGAACTAATTAGAAGAATTGCTGAGCTTTGGAGGGAACTTCCTGAATCACAGAAAAAAATGTATGAAGATGCTTATAAGGCAGACTGGCAAGCATACAAAGAAGAGATAAACAGAATTCAGGAACAGCTAACTCCAAGTCAAATGATATCATTTTTAATTTTTATAAGCTGTTTAAAGGGGTCTTTTCCTTATAGCTTTTAAAGATGATAAAGTAGAATTACAAAAAATATATTAAATTAAATAGTAGTCTTGACTAAAAACAAAACAAGAAGAAAAAACATCCCAAATTCACAAACAATCTCATTGGAAATACCACTATTTAGATACTTGTAATCAAAATGAATAACTGTTTTCTAAGTTTTGTGAAAGTATTCCTGCCATTTACCATAAGATCTGACACTTTCAGACACATGCTAGCATTAACTATCACTTTCTAGAAGATGATAAGAAAAATTGAATTTTATTTCAACTACTTAGCAATTGAGAAAGGCAAAAAAATGCTGTAAATTAAAGCTTAACTATATTCATATAAATGTTTGGGAAGGTACCAAAGCATTTTCCAGAACCATACCTGTGTTCCCCACATACTTTTATGAAATGCTAATTTAAAAATATTTGAAAATGATCTTTTGGAAACAGTTAACATTCTCTGTACATAAACGTCTTAAAATGTCTTCTGCTCTGACTGAGATAATGAGATAAGCATAGCTGGAATCCTAATATGATTGTGCTTTTATGCTCTCATTTTCGTTCACAGTTCATAAATTGCTATATTATCTGTCAATGCTCTGACTCCACTTGAGAAAGAAATAAGGAGATGCTTTTAGGTGAAAAAGCAGATATACATCTTTGGTTCTTTAAACATATAATATTTGATACACCTAATAGCATTATAATATAACAATGTTGTCTTCTCTCTATAAAAATGACACCACTGAAATATGCTTGGTAGAGTGGTGACTATGAATTGCTTTCCCGGAGCAATAGGATGTCTGTCATTACTCACCTATGCTCTTTGCTCAGCCCTCTCGTACAAGCACGATACACTGGCTATATTTTTGTTTTATTGTAGGTGTTCCACTTATGATTTACGTAGACCTATAAAGATGATATCTTAGAACAGCAGTGAGTTACAAAATATACTGTAGCTATGGAATTCTGTTTTCAAATAAAATCTTTCTTGAAGGCACAACATGTGAATCTTATGAAAGTTGGACCACAATTCCAGAAAGGATAGGATTTTTTCTCTTCTTTCTCCCAGACAATTCTGGGCCCAGAACACTAAGAATCAGTATTTAAAACTCAGTGAATCAATGCATCATTACAAAAATATTCAGGGATAAAAGGACCAGACTGATACTTATGTTGCCACCGTCACAGCAAATATTCTAAGTGATTATTATTTGTGAACTAATTTTCTAAGTGCTTTAATTACTTAATTTTTCTAGTTATTCCTTATCTCATCATCTAAAGGTAACCATGAATTCTGGGTATCGTACCTAATCCATCTTATAAAAATGAAAATGAAGTACAATGTGCTTAAGTACATTTCCCCATAAGTAACAGCTAATAAATTCTAAATGTGGGTTTAGACTGAGGGTCACCAGATTCATAAGATGACTTACATAGTGAACATTCATTGTTTTTCTGTGCAACATTAATTTCATCATTTTACAAACCATTCTCTTACCTATCTAAATCTATATGAAATTAATGGAATTGAAAGTCAAGAGCCAGTCCACTCAAAGCAAGCATTTTATTTTTATTTATTTATTTTCAAATATTTATTTTTTAGTTGTAGTTGGACACAATATCTTTATTTTATTTATTTATTTTATGTGGTGCGGAGGATCGAACCCAGGCCTCGCACATGCTAGGCGAGTGCTCTACTGCTGAACCACAATCCCAGCCCCCAAAGCATGCATTTTATCTAGGGTGGTCATTCAAAATTTTCCCTTGTGTGAAGCAAGGTTATAGGAAGAGATATTTAAGTAGGTGCAGTCTCTCTTTCTGGGATTGCTCTGTATGCAGGGAGTTTAAATAAGTTAAATTTTTGATCTGCTGGGGTTAAAGCAGCAATGGAAATGGCAGTATATATCTCACCATATGGATATAGTGTACATAAACTAAAGCCAAGAGTATGTGGTGATAAATGTTCACCTGAATTCCTCAATCATGAGAAAAAATATAATAAATTATTTTATTTATTTTTTTTTGTGAGCCAATTTGAGTTGTCATATTTCTTTATTTATTCCTAATTGCTACATAATAGTTTTATTATTTAGGTTTTAGATCTCATTTATCATTTAGATTGAACTAATCCCAAACACATATAATAAAAGGAAATATCTTTATCCAGCAAAGTATTACAGGGGATATAATAATACAGAAGACCAAACTTTATTTACAGAAAGGAAATACATAAGAACAAACTTTATTCATAGCAAAACCAGACCTAAAATCAAGTGCTGTAGAGGGGGATGTAATATAACTGAGTTGTGTTTTAATGATAACTTTACCACTGGAGGAGTGGTATAGACTGAATCTTAAGGATGGATAGTCATGAAGAGGGTTGGGAACTCTTCATAGAATGAAGAAATAGGTGTACAATTATCATCATAGAGTTGGAATGAGGTATATAGTCCTGGAAAAACTGAATCATTTATTGGGGGAAAAAATTAAAAACTAAAACTTGGTCCATCACTGAACCACTGTCAAGGATTCAGCAGCCTCCCACCCAAGCACCTCTTTTCCTGTTGCTCTGTCTCTCTACTGTCCCAGCTGCCTTGTGCACACTGGTTCCATTGAGGAGAAGGAATTTGATCTTATGTCTACTATCCAGAACCTCCACTCATTCCGCCCCTTAGCTGATACAAATAAGTGATAACCTGCTTCCTGCTAGCACTGAGGATTATATCACAATTCAACAGAGAAACAGTAGGAATATTCTTACTGATGATTATGATAAAAAGAAGCTAGTGAAGGTATTTAAGAAGAAATGTGCCTGCATTGGTACTCTAATTGAGCATCCAGAATATCTAGAACTAATTCAGCAACAGGTGACCAGTGTAAGAACATATACCAGTTCCTGGTAGATTGGACTGGCCAAGGTGATCAGCTGAAGGTTCAATGGAGTTTAAGTGCTTGCGTCTCACTGAAGCTTAAGGGATGACATCCTGGCAATGAGTAGAATTTCCCTTCTGTCCCTTGTCACAAGTTTAAAACCCTCACAGCTTGTATAATGTAATCATTTTGGGGTCCACTTTTAACTTGGACTAGTGTAACTCTTTCATGCAATAAACTGAAAAGAACCATGCTGTCTAGTCTTGAAGTCACTCATTTAAACAAAGGACAAGCAGTAGGCGCCTGGCAGCGTCCACCCTGAAACAAAGCAATAATGTGATGCTTCAGTGATGCTCAGACCCTACAATCACAGATGGCTGTGTCTGGCCAGAAGCTCTTTCGCTCTTCCACTGCAGAATCCCCTACCCTAAGAGAGTGTCATGACCTGAACAATCAGGAGAGGATGAGGTAAGACAGCAATGGCAGCAGCAGTAGCAGGGCACCACTCCAGGGAGCCTTTGGTAGCAAAAAGAGCCCCTGGTGTCTCTAACCTGACCAGATGGGCAGAACTCAGAGGCCATCTTCCCTCCAGTGAGGTGATGTGACATCTGGCTTGCCACCAAGGTCTTCTTTTTGAGAGCACATATTCTAGCTATGGTCTGTGCAAAACAACAGAATGTAGGGCCAGCTGAATATCAGTTAAATTTTTGACAAGGAAACAAATCCCAAACTGATGTTATCAGTCCTATAGCTAACAACAGAGCTTGCAACTCACTAGCAACAGCTGCTCTGGTCCATGTGAAGTAAAGCACTGATTTTTGGTATTCTTTTTCCCTTCCAGTTTTAATGTTATGTAATGCACTCAAACCCGTATTTAAACAAACAAAAAAAAAACAAAACAAAAAACTTGTTTTCAGAAATTAAAAAAAGAAAAAAAGGCAAAACTCAGACTATGGTACTTTGTATTGCTTACATGCATGATGTAATGATAGCTATCATTTTATATATTTAAGACATATCTCTGAGTTCAAGAGAGAAAGATACCTGCTGCAGTCTGGCTGGGCACAAATCACGAGCCACTGAAGCAGGAACAAACTTTATTTCTGAACTCCACCAGCACACTCCACACAGGCTCCCTGGGAACTCTCCCAAACGCCACCCACGCTGCTCCTCCAGGAAATCCCTCCAGGAACCACCAACCGGAAATCCCTCCTCTGGCACTTCCCCAACCAATGGGAACTCGCTGGGAATCCCCATGAGAACTCCAAAGTAGCAGGCTGAGGTGGACAGCAGGGTTCTAATATACACAGCTTAACATAACCATTATCATCTCAATGGCTTGCTGGCGTCACCTCTCAACCACTCCATTCTGGCAAAATGCCATGCGTCATTAGGACTCCGTTATGGCTCTCAGCAGATACCCTTTAGCTATTATGAATAAACAAGATTTCTAATAAAATATAAGCTTATTTATGAAAAATAAGTAATATTAATAATCATATTTTTGTTAATTGAGTCTCAGGTCTGTAAGTTCTTTTAATATTCGTTTCTTATACAGATAATCCAATTATTAACTCACTAACCATACAACAGTTTTGATAACTGCCAAGTTTCTCCAATCTGATAAAAGAGAAAGGAGGGGACAAAAATCTTATATTTTTTATGACATTTTTTTAATCTGAACAAATATTAAGCACAGATGGGTAATAAGACAGCGAGGAACTCAATTCCCTTAGTGGAACATTCTAGAATCATGACAATCTAATCAATCTATGTTACCAATCAAATTTCCTTCCATTTTATTGAGCCACATATATTTATTTTTCTTTCTTTTTTTTTTTCTTTATGTACTAGGCATTGAACCCAGCAACACTTAACCACTGAGGTATATCCCAGCCATTTTTTTGTATTTTATTTAAAGACAGTGTCTCACTGAGTTGCTTAGGAGCTCACTATGTTGCTGAGGCTGGCTTTGAACTCACAATCCTCCTGCCTCAGCCTCCTGAGCCTCTGGGATTATAAGTGTGTGCCTCTTTTTCCAGTTATATCAAACGTCTCTCTGTTTTATATAGTTCCAAGTGCATTATACTCTCCATGCCAGTATTGTCCTTACTCTTCTCATTGCAAATAAAACTCTT